CATCCAGCGAGGCGCAGCGGTTCACCGACATCCTGGCGCACCCCCCAGGGGACTCTCCCAGCCCCGAGCCCAGCCTGCCCGGGCCTCTGCACTCCATGTCGGCTGAGGTCTTCGGGCCGAGCCCGCCCTTCTCTTCGCTGTCGGTAAACGGCGGGGCGAGCTACGGGAACCACCTGTCCCATCCCCCCGAAATGAACGAGGCGGCCGTGTGGTAGCGGGGTCCCGCACGGTCCGCGGTGTTCGTGATTGTACAGAAATGAACTTTTATTTAAGAAAGAAGGGGAAAAAAAAACAAGCGGGCCTCCTGCCCCACTTCCTCCAGCCTCGGGGACCGTTCGCGGTCTGGGAAACCGGACGTGAAAGGGGACACAAAGTAGGATCCAAATCCGCCTCGAGGTCGGACTGGGATCTACACCCTGGCTGGCGAGGTGCAGAACTGGGGTTCGCGAAGGGGAAATACAGAGCTTTCCCCACCTCCCACCTGGACCCCGATCGTTGGACAGACCCCGCGGACCTGTGCGCCCAACGGCGGGCGGCAGAATGACCTTGAGACAGCCGCGGGCGAGCGCGCACAGCGCTTGGCGCACGCTCCGGGCCGGCCGGGCGGGTTCTGGCTCTGAGATATTCTTTTATTAGTGTTGTCTCAGAGGTCGGCGACAGCGACAACAAACTCATAACTTCAGAAACACCAACCCTGCTGTGCATCAGGTGGGACTATATATTTTTTGTCTATCTGGGTTTTTGGTTTTTGGTTTTGCCAAAATTGCAAAATTCTAAATGTAAAGCCCTCAGTATCAACTCTTCTACCTTCACAAAGCTGTACACACACACACACACACACACACACACACACACACACACACACACACACACACACACACACCACACAATTGATGGTCTCCAGCCAGACCTTTCAGTAAAAAATGACTTGAACATCAGCTGTACAAGAAAAGTATTCTACCTTCACACACAAAAGTTAAAAAACAAAAGACTATTGAACTAAAAACAGTCAACTGTTTACGTATAATGTTAAATTCAGGAGTTCAGTGTTTTACTAAGATATCCTGTTTTGAAACCTCTTGTTCAAAAACAAAATGTTTTGAGCAATCAACCAAAATTATTCCTTTTCTTTTCCTGTAGATGTTCTGAGAGACTTGCAGGGCTTGCGGCTCACTGTGCTAGTATGTAAAAAGGTGTTGTTTACACGAGGCAAAGAGAAAACATGATATTCAGACAGTTGCCAAATAGAATAATTATAGCACAAATACTGTAAAGGTGCCAGGCACCAGCAACCTGAGAAAGTGTTTTAAAAAAAAAGTGTTAAAGGTTTAAAACAAGACATCTTTGCTAATTTTTAGTCCTGTTGAACATTCATGGAATTGTTAATATGACTTATATAGACCCACACAGGTTTTATTTTTGTGTCTTTAAAATAAAAATCCAAAATATTTAAATTTTATGGTCAAATATGCAGTCAGCAGCTGCTACTTTTTTCTTTATATATTAAATTTCTCATATGTCTTCTATTGTTCTAATAAACCTAAGCTTGTGTGACCTCCAGTGCATATTAGACCATTCACTGTATGAAAGAAAACATGTTGAATAAATTTGTGAGTTTTTAATAAAAATAGAAAATCTGATGTTTAGATAATTGGTGTGGTATTTGATGTTTGCGACAATTAGAGAGGACTCTTGATGGGGTGCAGAATGAGGCCCTCAGAAGCCAGGAGGAAGACAGCCAGAATTGGGATGATGTATCTGTTTTTGCCTGGGCTATGGCTGAAGCCCCTTTGCTAATACCAGGCAAGCTTTTCTCTGTGGCTTCCTGCTGTCATTAAATACAGATCTGGATTCTGTGGATTTAACTGATACAGTTGAAGAGGTATTTGCTGATAAGTTAACACAGAATTTGAAATAGAAATCAAATCCATGGCTAAAAATGAATAGTTCTGGTCTGTGATTAAAGATGAGATCCAAAGCATTCTCCCTACATATGCAAAACCAGGCTTGTGAAAGTCATGCTTGTAAATATATAGTTAGTGGTGGTCCTTTTCAGTTTCAATTCATTTTCCATAGATAATCCTGCTTTCTAATTCGGTGGTTTGAAAGATAACATAAAATGAACGTACAGTAAACTAGAAATGAAATACTTTAATCCTTTTCACAGAACTGATATGAGTTGTTATTTTATAGTATTACATTTGAAGTTCCCCAAAAGGAAAACTATTTTTGCTTGGCATGAGATGCATATTAAGTTTTCTGAAAGAAGAACAAAAATAACTAATATAGAAATCAAATTTCAACTGGGAGTTGGCCAATGGGTTCTGCAAAGTAGTTCAATCCCTTCCAAGCTTTCATTAGAAATGGAAGGAATTTGAATATTTTATCTGGTGTGAAATTCTCATGTGTGGGTGTATTTGTGGTTTAATATCAAATGCTATTAGATTTTCAGAAGTTTTTTCTTTTCCGTATCACCTACATTTCAAACTGGATTATTTATTTCCTAATTTTGAAAAAAATCAAAAGTTTTACATTATGTAGTATGTAATTTCCAGTACTGTTTTCCTAGTTTGTTAAGACAGCGAATTTTATCTTGTAGAGAAAGCTTTAAATTAAGCAGTTTTTCTCTGCATCACAATGACGGCTTATCTAATGAGGGGGGCTATCAGGGAGGAATCTGGTAGTGTTCTTTCAGAAATAAAAATTTATGAAATACAAAGGAGACTTCTGAAACTCCTAGCTTCTACACGTAGCACATTTTCTTTTAACTGCTTTATATTCGATCACCGGATTGTTTTGTCCCTTTTGCATTTATATACATTAAATCATAGCTAACATATTCATTACAGCCCTTACTCTACCCCCTCCTCCTTAAAGACATTCATTTAACTGAACTTATGCTCTTTGAGAAGCTGCATTTTCTTATCATAGATGGCTGAATTATTTAGCAGCTTTCTTGTGGCGTTAGGGTATTTGATAAACGTTTTAGAGTTAGACAAGCGGTGTGTGTTCAATTCAAACTCGGTGGTGTGACACAGTCTTGCCCCTTGGCACGATATCATGGAACCTGGTTGATACCGAACAGGTGGTGATGCTCAGCAGTCTAAATTGGAGGCTCAGGATGGAGAGATCTAGAAGCGGCAGGCACTGATTCCCTTCTCGCTAGGCAATACCGAGCTGTCCACCTACACCCGAGGTTCAGGGAAGCGAGGCACCTTTGGCCGGTGGCTCCGCCTAGAGATGCGCTGGCCACAGGGCAGCGCCACAGTAGTCACCCAGAAGGGCAGCTCCTCTCCGGCTCTCCCACCCAGCCTGGCAGCTTAGTTCATCCTCGAGGCCATCTTAAAGTCACCACCTCTATGCCTCCCGCCACCTGTGCTGGGGGTTCCAAGGCAGAGCGGCCATCTGTGAGGGCGAGAGAGTGAAAGCTCACCCAGCCAGCTGCTCTGCACGGGGGGGGGGGGGGGGGGGGGGGGGG